GGGGCGGGGCTTGCGCGCGCAGCGGGAGCGCCCAACGGCTGGCGGGGCGGGGCCCGGGCAACGGACAGGCGGGCGGGTGGGAGCGGCGCCATGAGGCGAGGGGAGGCGGCCCGGAGGCGGCGGGGTGGTCCTTGCCGGGCACTGCTTCCTCCCGGATAAAACGCGTTCTTGGCTCTGCTCCTTTGAATTAACTTGCTGTTGCGCTTAACCCGTTTGTCAGTCGGCCCAGAGTTCCCGTGGGGTTTGTCGAGCAAGTGTAAGGGTCTCCGCTCCTTTTTGCGCGCAGTCCAGGGTTTATAAAACTACAGCCAGAACTTGGATGGGAATCGTTGTCTCCTCTGGCACGGGAGGAGCCTTTGAAAGGGTAGAGCTCACCGAAGCAGGACACAGCTTTCCTGCAGACGCATCCAAGAATGTGGAATGAATCCCCCTGGAGCAACGGACAATCGTAAATCTGCTCCCATGCAAGGCATGTTGTTTGGCGCTGCTCAGCTCTACCCTAAATGGTCACTTTGGTTGTGCCGGTTGTACTGTAACACAGAAACTTCAAAAGGCTCATAGAGAGACTCATGCTTTTTTATCTGTAGAGTTTATATTTATTTTAGACATTTACAATATTCATAGGATTTTTTTTAACTTCTTTCAATGCAGAAAGATGCTAAGGCAGCTTTTTTTTTCTGATTTTGATGTAAAAAGTCCTTCACAAGAGAGCTGAGTTTGTTTTAGTGTCATACAAGAATACAGGTTATGCTCATACCAAATTAGCTATTTAAAAGAATAAACACTCGTTTTCCCCTTTTGTGAAAGAGCAAGCAACGCAGAGCTTGTATGCCTGATTTCCAAATAACGCATATTTCCTATCCCTAATTTATCCCCCCCTTTCCCACATCACATTGCTGGCTAGTTTGTTAAAGTCTTGGCTCCATCCTTGGTGGGACGGTGGCTCACCCAGCTGTGTGCTTGTGCATGATGTTACCACTTCAATCCAGCCGATGCACAATTCAGGCTTGAAACTGGGCTTGTTGACTTTGATAACATTCATTTTCAAACTGGATGTGACCTCAGTAGCCTGTTTTCTTCTTTAGTTTCACTGACCTAAACAAAGCAGTGCTGCCTAGAGATTATACCCAGGCAAGCAAAACAAAAAACAGCGGATGGTGCCAGAACATTACTAGAACTGCCATTTAAAGCTTTAGTTGGACTGCAGCTTTATTATCTCAGAGCACTACTTTTCACTGCATTATGTCACAAGCGGTGAAACTATCCAAACAGCTTGGACGAAAAAAACCTCTCAGCTTAACTGTGAAAGGGCCATCTGCAGCCGGGGCATTGTCCATGAGAAATTCACAGTGGAAGAGCTTTCTAATTTACCTTGGTTTGCCAGAGGCTGAAGTTTTTAAACTTCAGCGCACGTTTTTTGTTCTTTCTCCTCTGACTTAGTTGAGAGGGAAATGTGCCAATGACTTATATCTGCCAAAGAAAACAAATACATATATATTTTAGCTAGCTCAGTTTAATAAAGCCCTGATGACTCTAGAGTAGACGGCTCAGTTGTGTCAACAGGTGTTAAAGTGGAATTTCTCTCCAGGCTTCTTTTAAATGTCTGTATTTTCTTTAGGTAATTTAGCAGAGATTAGGGAATCACGGTTAAAAAAACCCCACAACAACGTAAAAATTGAAATAACAGATTATAATTTCATGGGCATTTACCAACATTCTCATCGTTTTATATACTTTCCTAACACACTATGATGATGCATCTTTTGTGTATATCAGATTCCTTCAACACGTGTTGAGCATTTTTGTAAAGATATGTCTGAGAAGATTAGACTTAATTAGCTATGTCCTTCTGATAAAGATTCTAGGTGCCCATTATAATTGTTTTAAAGATCAATGCAAACAGTTCATTACAAGAAAAACACCAACAAACTGAAAGCAGCTGATACAGCAAACTGTATAACCTGTCCTTATGTACTTTGTATCAACATCGTCATCACCAGTTTCACATTAAAAAAATATTTGAAATAAGATTATGTAAGTTACTTCCTATTTTATTTTAGAATGTTCCTTTTATATCCTATTTGGAACAATTTTCAACAACTTTATTGTGACTTTTTTTTCCAAAATTTAAATTAGACTAGTATGTTGTCCACTTTGTCACTAAGTAGGGCACTCACTGTCATCTGTTTATGCTGTCTTAGTTTTATCAATGCTCCTTTAGTTGAAGAACCTTGCCCAGCATCACTGTCCTGTCACACAGAGGCCTCGGCTAAACCACGTTGCTGCAGTGTCCTGCAGGGTCCCGGATACACATGGGTTTCCTGACCAGTGACCCCTGGAGTGCTCAGACTGTCCCAGCAGGAATGTTGGGGAAAACCGCAGATACTGTGTTTTCTAGAATATTCCAACTTTCACCTTTTTTTTTTCCCTCTGTCTTTCTTTCCCTTTGTCCAACCTTGCCAATAAATTGCATCTGTTGTTTGGCAACTACAGCTGTATTTTGCATGGTTTTGTAGGGTTTGTAGTTCCAAGAGAAAGGCATGTGCATTTAGAAAAAATCTTGGAGAGGAACCAATGTTGGGGAGACTAAGAAAAAAAAAGTAAACTGAAGTAAAGTCTGATCTTTTGGAATAAAATACTCCTGAAATGATAACTGAACTATCTTTGAAGAGCCTCAGTGATTGTGCAGCCTGTGGGTTTTCTCAAGGGCATCTGAGACTGTGACTGCCCACACTGAAAGTACCTGTAGCTTGTGGGAACAGCTGCAGTTGCCTGGGGTGCTGCAGAACATAAGGAAGCCATTTGAGGTCTGAACAAATGACACTATGTTTTCTCCTGTCCCTCATGAAGTGTGGGCTAACCCTTTAGTTTGGTGTTTCTTATCCCATCAGGGTCATTGTGTAAACCACTGATCATCATGATCAAGAAAATGTGTTTTAGCCTGGTGGTGGATGGTCCCTTTTCTCCTTGTTGATAGCAAGTAATGTCTTTTATTTGTACCCTCAGGAAAAAATGTGATTTTTATGGGTAGCAAATGCACTAATAGATCAAGATCAAGTAGAAGATGAAGCCTTTTGTGTCATTTTCAGTCTCCTCTTGTCGTCCTGTAAAGTTTTCTAGTCCATCTATGCATATGCCAAATACTAAGAATGGAAACAATAAAGAAACATCAGAAACAGTTTGCAGTTTTGCAGGACAGTTTGACATAATGACACATTGTCAGGGAGCTGCAAGAAATGTAAATCGAAATATATTTTAGGGCTCAGCATTTCACAAGAATTACATTTCTCAGCTTGGTGATGGGCTCTGGTGTTTAGGAGTGCAGGTATCGTGTACTCCTTTCACAGGGCAGAGGACTCCCCTAATTCTTTACCTGTCACCCTTGAGATCTCTCAGTGTTCAGAGATGCAGGCATTAACAATACAAACATAAGAGAAAAAGTGTTTTCTAACAAAACTTGTCACTTAAATACAAATCTAGTACAAAAGAAAGAATTAGTGTGGCTTTCGTACTGAAGAAACAGCTATTGGAGCTATTCCCTATTTGCACATAGAATGAGTTCCTAAAAGCTGGAGATATCCATAGCTGTTAGAAAAAAAAATGCTACACTTAATTTTGCAGGTTAATCTTACTAGTAGTATGATATTATTATAAAACCTACAACAAATCATAATTTAGTCCTTAGAAAAACACCCTCTACTTATCTCTGCTGAGTACAAGAGCTCAGATTTCACGGTGTGCTGAATCATATTTTATGCTCCTAATGCACTGCTTAGACGGGTAACATCTCTTCATTTGATTTAAGCATCTTCTCCTCTTGTGGGCAGAATTTATGTAAAATTTAATGTAGAAGTCCATGCTATTTTCTCAACCACAAATAAGTGTTTTTGATTTCTACTCTAGTCTCCACAGAGCCTTTGCAGAGCTTTGGAGGAATGCTGCTCGACTGGAATGTTTACTTCACTGCAGCGTGATATGCGGCCCACTGGTACAAAACAAAAAAAGGCAAATAAATCTAATCTCTTTTCCCTAAGCTTTCACACCATCACCTCTTTATAGTGTTTGGCCTGTGAATATGTTTCAAATAAGGTTACTTGCTCCTTGCAGCCAATTCACTCTGTAACTATGCAGGAGACGTGCTGTATTCTCACAAAATTTACACTGTTTATATAAGAGTTTGATGCAAAGCAATTTTACCAAGGGAAAACAGTAAGAATTGATATGATAATTTAAAGAGTATTGTCTCGAATCCTAAGCACCATATGCTTTGTGTATTCTCAGGAAGAGGTGTTTCTTTCTATCACATATTATATTTATTCTGCTGTTAATTGATTCTGCAATATAATTGTCTTTAAAGCTAGTGCATATACATATACAAGTAGGTTCCAAAATATATGCATACTATTAGGCTGTCATAGGCAGTATCTATGCTTTATGGTTAAATTTTGAAGGAAAAATATCCCTTTCACATTTTTTTCCCCAAGTAAATAGCAGAAATAGTGTATTAGACATGAGCACATATCTGAGTATGGTAATAAAAACATTGTGAGTACCAGTTGGGAAATCAAAAGAGATGAAAAGGACAATAAAAGTAAACTCAGGAGCACCTAGAGCTGAACAATCAAACATAAAACACAAGCATGTAGAAATAACATTCTCCTGTGGGTGCCTCTTATTCATTTAACTCCATAGTTAACAGTATTAAAGACAGATCAGTTAAAATTAAGCTTCATTAGTGTCAATTCAGAATCAGCTTCTGGTTCCTTCTGCAATCATATCTGAATTTAAGGCCAAATAATTTTGTTCAGAAACAATGAACACTATGTAGAATCACTCTCAAGTGGTTTCTACATAGGGAAGGCCTTGTAATCCCCCATTCAGACTACCCTGCTTGGCGATGCCAGGGAGATCTTTCTTT